GCTGCAGGTGTACACCACCACCACAGCTGCAGGTGTACACCACCACCACAGCTGCAGGTGTACACCACCACCACAGCTGCAGGTGTACACCACCACCACAGCTGCAGGTGTACACCACCACCACAGCTGCAGGTGTACACCACCACCACAGCTGCAGGTGTACACCACCACCACAGCTGCAGGTGTACACCACCACCACAGCTGCAGGTGTACACCACCACCACAGCTGCAGGTGTACACCACCACCACAGCTGCAGGTGTCCACCACCACCACAGCTGCAGGTGTACACCACCACTACAGCTGCAGGTGTACACCACCACCACGGCTGCAGGTGTACACCACCACCACAGCTGCAGGTGTGCACCACCACCACAGCTGCAGGTGTACACCACCACCACAGCTGCAGGTGTACACCACCACCACAGCTGCAGGTGTACACCACCACCACAGCTGCAGGTGTACACCACCACCACAGCTGCAGGTGTGCACCACCACCACAGCTGCAGGTGTACACTGGAAGACATTAGAGCTCAGGGAGACATAACCACCACATACATAAGTGGAGGAATAAGGGATGCATGGCAAGAGAAGGGGGAGTGGTGGGGGATGGAGTAGTGAGTGTGGGAGGGGTGGGGGTCAGCCAGGGGGGGGGGGCGACCAGCATGACCCTTCACCGAGAAGGAGGTCAATCATAATCCATGGATTACTTGAAGCCAAGGCATCATCGCGGCAGGAAAGGATGGAGATTGAAGATTTTGAGTGGCAGGTGATCTTGAGAGATATCAGAGCCGAAACGGCACTTAATGAGGTGGGAATTCACTGCCAAATTGGGGCTTACAACTGTAACAAGAAACGACCTGTCCTGGTACAGTTCACTAACGAAGAGCGAAAACTATTACAATGTGTATATTGACAGATACATGACCAAAGATGAGCAAATAGCCCACAGGGCGAGCCGTCCTCGACACTCCTCGTCATATTTGAGTGTAGTTACACACCCCAGTGCTAACCCACCCCGTGCTAACCCACCCCAGTGCTAACCCACCCCGTGCTAACGAGCCCACACCTGCCTCCCAGGTCACACCCTCCCCAAATCTGCCCTCCCTGCCCCTGCTTATCTCCCCAATATCTCCCGCGACTCCTTTGACCCCATTGCTTTCGAATCCATCTGTTTCATCCCACATTCCAGGATCCCCTCATCCCCTCAACCCCCAAATCCCACTCAGCCCTAACCCCTCCTCAACCCCCTCCTTCCATATGACCCCCTACCCTTGCGAGGGGGGCACATGGACCCCCGTGGGGGGATGGGGGCCCCTCCACTTCTTCCTCCATTTCCCTCTTCCCTCCTTCTGCCCCAATGCCCACACCTACCCCTGAGTTCCCCCTGACTAATATATCCTCCCTCCCACTCTCACTCTCCATGTTCCATCAGCCACTCTTTTTCCCCACCCCCTCTATTCTTTTCCCTGCCTCATACTCCTCATCCCTCCGTGCCTCATACTCCTTCCTCCCTGCCTGCCTCATACTCCACCTCCCTCCCTGCCTCATACTCCACCTCCCACCCTGCCTCATACTCCACCTCCCTCCCTGCCTCATACTCCACCTCCCTCCCTGCCTCATACACCTCCTCCCTCCCTGCCTCATACTCCACCTCCCTCTCTGCCTCATACTCTTCCTCCCTCCCTGCCTCATACTCCTCCTCCCTCCGTGCCTCATACTCTTCCTCCCTCCCTGCCTCATACTCCTCCTCCCTCCCTCCCTCATACTCCTCCTCCCTCCCTGCCTCATACTCCTCCTCCCTCCCTGCCTCATATTCCACCTCCTTCCCTGCCTCATACTCCTCCTCCCTCCCTGCCTCATACTCCTCCTCCTTCCGTGCCTCATACTCCTCCTCCCTGCCTGCCTCAAACTCATCCCTCCGTGCCTCATACTCCTCCTCCCTCCCTGCCTCATACTCCACCTCCCTCCGTGCCTCATACTCCTCCTCCCTCCGTGCCTCATACTCCTCCTCCCTCCGTGCCTCATACTCCTCCTCCCTCCGTGCCTCATACTCCTCCTCCCTCCGTGCCTCATACTCCTCCTCCCTCCGTGCCTCATACTCCTCCTCCCTCCGTGCCTCATACTCCTCCTCCCTTCGTGCCTCATACTCCACCTCCCTGCCTGCGTCATACTCCGCCCACCTAGCGCCAGGTCCTTGCTCACGACTCCGGGTCCTCAGCGAGGGAGCGGGGCCCTGAGGGCGTCCCTCCAACCTTCTTGTTAGTGAAGCGACGCTGCTGCCGTCTGGGCTTGACATCCTCTTGCCGAGGACCTCTTACGACCTCCCGCGCTGGTAACTATCGTCTTCCTACCTCTTACGACCTCCCGCGCTGGTAACTATCATCTTCCTACCTCTTACGACCTCCCGCGCTACCTGCTTGACACCTGGTTGATGGGGTTCTGGGAGTTGTTCTACTCCCCAAGCCCGGCCCGAGGCCAGGCTAGACTTGTGAGAGTTTGGTCCACCAGGCTGTTGCTTGGAGCGGCCCGCAGGCCCACATACCCACCACAGCCCGGTTGGTTCGGCACTCCTTGGAGGTAACTATTTAGTTTCCTCTTGAAGATGTCCACGGTTGTTCCGGCAATATTTCTTATGCTCGCTGGGAGGACGTTGAACAACCGTGGACCTCTGATGTTTATACAGTGTTCTCTGATTGTGCCTATGGCACCTCTGCTCTTCACTGGTTCTATTCTGCTTTTTCTTCCATATCGTTCACTCCAGTACGTTGTTATTTTACTGTGTAGATTTGGGGCCTGACCCTCCAGTATTTTCCATGTGTATATTATTTGGTATCTCTCTCGTCTCCTTTCTAGAGAGTACATTTGGAGAGCTTTGAGACGATCCCAATAATTTAGGTGCTTTATCGCGTCTATGCGTGCCGTATATGTTCTCTGTACTCCCTCTATTTCAGCAATCTCTCCTGCTCTGAAGGGGGAAGTGAGTACTGAGCAGTACTCAAGACAGGACAACACAAGTGACTTGAAGAGTACAACCATTGTGATGGGATCCCTGGATTTGAAAGTTCTCGTAATCCATCCTATCATTTTTCTGGCTGCCGCAATATTTGCTTGGTTATGCTCCCTAAACGTTAGGTCGTCAGACATCATTATTCCCAAATCCTTTACATGTTGCTTTCCTACTATGGGCAGATTTGATTGTGTTTTGTACCCTGTATTATGTTCAAGGTCCTCATTTTTGCCATACATGAGTACCTGGAATTTATCACTGTTAAACATCATGTTATTTTCTGCTGCCCAGTCGAAAACTTTATTAATATCAGCTTGAAGTTTTTCAATGTCTTCAGTAGAGGTAATTTTCATACTGATTTTTGTTTCATCTGCAAAGGATGACACGAAGCTGTGACTTGTATTTTTGTCTATATCTGATACGAGAATAAGGAACAGCAGCGGTGCAAGGACTGTACCTTGAGGTACAGAGCTTTTAACTGCGCTGCGATTATATTTGATTGACTGTTACTCTTTGTGTTCTGTTCGACAGGAAATTGAGTATCTAGCGTCCTACTTTACTAGTTATTCCCATTGACCTCATTTTGTGCACTATCATTCCATGGTCACATTTGTCGTTGCATTCGACAAATCTGTCGAATGCAAAGGCATTCGACTGCGACACAAATCTGTCGAATACACAGAAGTCTGTGTATTCTGTTTTTCTTCTAATGCCTCAGTGATTTTGTGGTAATAGTAACTATCGCAGGTAACTATCATCACACTACCTATTACGACCTACCACTTCACCCACCACCAATGAAGGGGGAGGTGGGGGGCCTGACCCACCACCAGTGAAGGGGCAGGTGGGGGGCCTGACCCACCACCAGTGAAGGGGCAGGTGGGGGGCCTGACCCACCACCAGTGAAGGGGCAGGGGGGGCCTGACCCACCACCAGTGAAGGGGCAGGTGGGGGGCCTGACCCACCACCAGTGAAAGGGCAGGTGGGGGGCCTGACCCACCACCAGTGAAGGGGCAGGTGGGGGGCCTGACCCACCACCAGTGAAGGGGCAGGTGGGGGGCCTGACCCACCACCAGTGAAGGGGCAGGTGGGGGGCCTGACCCACCACCAGTGAAGGGGCAGGTGGGGGGCCTGACCCACCACCAGTGAAGGGGCAGGTGGGGGCCTGACCCACCACCAGTGAAGGGGCAGGTGGGGGGCCTGACCCACCACCAGTGAAGGGGCAGGTGGGGGGCCTGACCCACCACCAGTGAAGGGGCATGTGGGGGGCCTGACCCACCACCAGTGAAGGGGCAGGTGGGGGGCCTGACCCACCACCAGTGAAGGGGCAGGTGGGTTGCCGGCTTCGCATCTCCCCTTTAAAAAGTACACATAACCTTGCATGGACCTCCAGGTGCTCCCCGTCCTTGGTCCCACTGTCTTCCCACGGTCTTATCCTGCCCTCCCATGGTCTTATCCTGCCCTCCCACGGTCTTATCCTGCCCTCCCATGGTCTTATCCTGCCCTCCCATGGTCTTATCCTGCCCTCCCATGGTCTTATCCTGCCCTCCCACGGTCTTATCCTGCCCTCCCATGGTCTTATCCTGCCCTCTCACGGTCTTATCCTGCCCTCCCACGGTCTTATCCTGCCTTCCCATGGTCTTATCCTGCCCTCCCATGGTCTTATCCTGCCCTCCCACGGTCTTATCCTGCCCTCCCATGGTCTTATCCTGCCCTCCCACGGTCTATCCTGCCCTCCCATGGTCTTATCCTGCCCTCCCATGGTCTTATCCTGCCCTCCCATGGTCTTATCCTGCGGTCCTGCCCCCATGGTCTTATCCTGCCCCTCACGGTCTTATCCTGCCCCCATGGTCTTATCCTGCCCTCCCATGGTCTTATCCTGCCCTCCCACGGTCTTATCCTGCCCTCCCATGGTCTTATCCTGCCCTCCCACGGTCTTATCCTGCCCTCCCATGGTCTTATCCTGCCCTCCCATGGTCTTATCCTGCCCTCCTATGTCTTATCCTGCCCTCCCGGTCTTATCCTGCCTCCCACGGTCCTGCCCTCCCACGGTCTTATCCTGCCCTCCCATGGTCTTATCCTGCCCTCCCACGATCTTATCCTGCCCTCCCATGGTCTTATCCTGCCTTCCCATGGTCTTATCCTGCCCTCCCACGGTCTTATCCTGGTCTTATCCTGCCCTCCCATGGTCTTATCCTGCCCTCCCATGGTCTTATCCTGCCCTCCCATGGTCTTATCCTGCCCTCCCATGGTCTTATCCTGCCCTCCCATGGTCTTATCCTGCCCTCCCATGGTCTTATCCTGCCCTCCCACGATCTTATCCTGCCCTCCCATGGTCTTATCCTGCCCTCCCACGCTCTTATCCTGCCTTCCCACGGTCTTATCCTGCCTTCCCACGGTCCTATCCTGCCCTCCCACGGTCTTATCCTGCCATCCCACGGTCTTATCCTGCCCTCCCATGGTCTTATCCTGCCCTGCCACGATCTTATCCTGTCCTGCCATGGTCTTATCCTGCCCTCCCACGGTCCTATCCTGCCCTCCCACGGTCTTATCCTGCCCTCCCACGGTCTTATCCTGCCCTGCCACGGTCTTATCCTGTCCTCCCACGGTCTTATCCTGCCCTGCCACGGTCTTATCCTGTCCTGCCACGGTCTTATCCTGCCCTTCCACGGTCCTATCCTGCCCTCCCACGGTCCTATCCTGCCCTCCCACGGTCTTATCCTGCCCTCCCACGGTCTTATCCTGTCCTGCAATGGTCTTATCCTGCCCTCCCACGGTCCTATCCTGCCCTCCCACGGTCTTATCCTGCCCTCCCACGGTCTTATCCTGTCCTCCCACGGTCTTATCCTGCCCTCTCACGGTCTTATCCTGTCCTCCCACGGTCCTATCCTGCCCTCCCACGGTCTTATCCTGCCCTCCCACGGTCTTATCCTGCCCTCCCACGGTCTTATCCTGTCCTCCCACGGTCTTATCCTGCCCTCCCACGGTCTTATCCTGTCCTCCCACGGTCTTAACCTGTCCTCCCACGGTCTTATCCTGTCCTGCCATGGTCTTATCCTGCCCTCCCACGGTCTTAACCTGTCCTCCCACGGTCTTATCCTGCCCTCCCATGGTCTTATCCTGTCCTCCCACGGTCTTAACCTGTCCTCCCACGATCTTATCCTGCCCTCCCACGGTCTTATCCTGTCCTCCCACGGTCTTATCCTGTCCTCCCACGGTCTTAACCTGCCCTCCCACGGTCTTATCCTGCCCTCCCATGGTCTTATCCTGTCCTCCCACGGTCTTAACCTGTCCTCCCACGGTCTTATCCTGCCCTCCCACGGTCTTATCCTGTCCTCCCACGGTCTTATCCTGTCCTCCCACGGTCTTAACCTGTCCGTCCCACGGTCTTAACCTGTCCTCCCACGGTCTTAACCTGTCCTCCCACGGTCTTATCCTGTCCTCCCACGGTCCTATCCTGCCCTCCCACGGTCCTATCCTGCCCTCCCACGGTCTTATCCTGCCCTCCCACGGTCTTATCCTGTCCTCCCACGGTCTTAACCTGTCCTCCCACGGTCTTATCCTGCCCTCCCATGGTCTCATCCTGCCCTTCTATGGTAATACCCTGCCCCCCCATTGAATAATCCTACACAGTGTTCAAGAAAGAACTTGATAAGCACCTCCAAAGGATACCTGATCAACCAGGCTGTGATTCATATGTTAGGCTGCGAGCAGCCGCGTCCAACAGCCTGGTTGACCAGTCCAGCAACGAGTAGGCATGGTCGACGACCGGGCCGCGGGGTCGCTAAGCCCCGAAAACACCTCAAGGTAACCTGTGGTGGGAGTGGTATTGATCAGTCCACAGGAAACCTGGCGTCATACCCGACACCCACACCTGACACCCACACACGTGACACACACACCTGACACCCACACTTGACACCCAGACCTGTCACCCACACCTGATACCCAGACTTGACACACACCTGACACCCACACCTGACACACACACCTGACACCCACACCTGACACACACACCTGACACACACACCTGACACACTACATTCTATACCCACCCAACAAACGGGTACCCTTCTCAAACTTGCACAAAGGATCCTTCAGAATCCTATATTCAACCTAGGTGAGACCTACTCTTGAGCGTGTAGCCCTGAAATAGACTTATCCTGTCGTCGCATTGATAGGTCCAATTTTGTATACCTGGAGCATACCCGGAGAGGGTTCTGGGAATTCTTCTACTCCCCGAGCCCGGCCAGAGGCCAGGCTTGACTTGGGATAACTTGGTCCAACAGGCTGTTGCTGGGAGCGGCCCGCAGGCCCACATACCCACTAAAGCCCGGTTGGTCCGGCACTCCTTGCAGGAACTGATCTAAGTGCCTCTTGAATACATCCACCTTTGTTCCGGCAATATTTCTAATGCTTGCTGGGAGGGTGTTGAACAGCTGTGGACCTCTGATGTTCAGACAGTGTTCACTGATTGTGCCTATGGCAACTCTACTCCTCACTGGTTCTATTCTGCATTTCCTTCCGTACCTTTCGCTCCAGTATGTTGTTATTCTACTGTGGTACCTTGGGGCCTGGTCCTCCAGTATCTTCCATGTATAAATCCAGCCCATCCTCGTGTTGTGGTGGTACTGACAGTAACGATGAGACCCATAGTATATATACCCACGTATAGCGAAATTAGAAAGTAGAAATTTGAACTATTGACTTGGAGAAACTGGAAAACTATTTTTTACTTGTGTTGCTTTGACAAACTAATTTGAACTAACTTAACCTTCCTAGGCCTAATACACGATATCTAAGGCCTAATATAGTACATGTGTGTGTGCTATATTAGGCCTAGGAATATTTAAATTTGTTTTTTAGCTTCATTTATTTTAAAACAATTCCTTACTAGTCAGTATACTACTATCTAAAAGCTAAGTACGTACGAATGCTGACTATTGACGATAGTCACAATAGGTACTGTCTAAACAGGAGGATGGGTTGATATATTATTTGATACCTCTCTCGTCTCCTTTCCCGAGAGTACATTTTAAGAGCTGTGAGACGGTCCCAATAATTTAGATGTTTTATCGTGTCTATGCGTGCCGTATATGTTCTCTGTATTCCCTCTAATTCACAGATCTCTCCTGCTCTGAAGGGGAAAGTGAGTACCGAATACTGAAGACGGGACAGCACCAGTGATTTCAATAGTATTATCATTGCTGTGGGGAGTCTGGATGTGAACGTTCTCATAATCCATCCTATCATGGTCCTGACCGCCGCTATATTTGCTCGGTTATGTTCAAATGTCTTCAAATGTCAGGTCGTCAGACATCATAATTACCAGATCTTTTACATGTTGTTTTCCTTCTATGAGTAGGTCGCATTGTGTCCTGTACCCTGTGTCCTGTACCCTGTGTTTGGTTTAACTTCCTCGTTTCCACCATACCTCAGTACCTGGAACTTATCACGGGTAAACATCATGTTATTTTCAGTTGGCCAATCGAAGACTTATTTATATCTGCCTGCAGTTTTTCACTGTCTTCTACAGAGGAAATTTTCATGCTGATTTTTGTATCATCTACATTAGATGAATCGAAGCTGTGACTAGTATTTTTGTATATAAGAGAAAAGAATGGGAAATAGCAGCGGTGCAAGGACTGTGCCCTGGGGTACAGAACTTTTCGCTGCACTTGGGCTTGATCTTACTTGAGTGACCGTCACTCTCTGCATTCTGTTTGACAGAAAGTTGAAAATCCAACGCCCAACTTTACCCGTTATTCCTATTGATCTCATTTTGTGTGCTATCACTCCATGGTCACATTTGTCCAATGCCTGTACAAAGTCTGTGTATACAACATCTGCATTTTGCTTTTCTTTTGAAGTTTCTGTGATTTTTGTCATAGTGGTTGAGTAACTGTGACAGACAGGATCTTCCCGCTCTAAATCCATGTTGTCCTGGATTGTGTAGCTTATTATTTTCTAGAAAACTTTAAATTTGGTTCCTAATCATTCTTTCAAACACTTTTATTATGTGTGATGTTAGTGCAACTGGCCTATAATTTTTAGCCAAAGCTTTACTCCCCCCCCCTTGTGCAGAGGAGTTATATTTGCAGATTTAAGTGCTGCTGGTATCTCCCCTGTATCCAGGCTCTTTCTCAATATTACACTGAGTGCTCGCGCCTGCTTCACAAGATGCTGTGAAGCGAAAATTTATTTTTAAATTGCAATTGTTTCACTGTGTCTGATATAGCAACTTCCCAAACCCTTAACCCCCATTCTAGATTCACAATGAATTTACAATAACAAATTATATGTTATAAGGTCATCACTCAAATATAAGCCAAATGTTTTGACATTAATCTAAACTGTAAGTTTAATTTACGATGCTCTACACCTGGTTCACCTGTTCTTTCCGGCCAGAGTTGAAAAGATTTAAGTTGCTACGAGTTGAGCTGTAATCGACTGTGATCCAGTGCCCGTCAGTGTCCAGGCCATGAGTAGTGAAACCTGGCACCTCAAGTCCGGAGAGTTTACCCATGACGGATCTCTCCATCCTGAATTAGATCTAGGTATCCCCATCTCTGCTGTCAAAACTGTATTGGTCCAAACATTCAGATCTGATAGGAAAGAACTTACTGACTCCCAACGACCTGAAAGTACTAGTATAAAAAGCTATGATTTGTTCAGATCTGAAACCTACATCTATGGACAGCACAAAACGTCCACTAGACTGTGTGACACAGTGATTGCAAGGATCAGGTTGGGTTACCGTTACCTGTGGCAGGTGGCTGCAGGTGACGGGTCTCCCAATCCTGAGCACTCCAGGTGTGTACAAACTCTGTGAGCAGGAACTACGGCATGATCTCCCACACTACATCACTGAATGCCCAGTTATTAGACCTTTCAGACCCGTTGGCATGAGGTACCTGGAGCTTTGCAATTACTTTATTCACTCTCGTGTTCTTGAAGATATCCTTATATTGCACCCAACGTTTGCCAGTGCAGACTACTGAACATGTGGCCCTGTATGACTGACCATCCTGCGTGATGGGGATGTTTAGCATCACGTAGATGGTTTTTTGACACACACTGTACTCCCCCTTCATATAGTCTAGGGCAGCTAGTTCTTGACACACACTGTACTCCCCTTCATATAGTCTAGGGCAGCTAGTTCTTGACACACACTGTACTCCCCTTCATATAGTCTAGGACAGCTAGTTCTTGACACACACTGTACTCTCCTTCATATAGTCTAGGACAGCTAGTTCTTGACACACACTGTACTCTCCTTCATATAGTCTAGGACAGCTAGTTCTTGACACACACTGTACTCTCCTTCATATAGTCTAGGACAGCTAGTTCTTGACACACACTGTACTCTCCTTCATATAGTCTAGGACAGCTAGTTCTTGACACACACTGTACTCCCCTTCATATAGTCTAGGGCAGCTAGTTCTTGACACACACTGTACTCTCCTTCATATAATCTAGGGCAGCTAGTTCTTGACACACACTGTACTTCCCTTCATATAGTCTAGGGCAGCTAGTTCTTGACACACACTGTACTCTCCTTCATATAGTCTAGGGCAGCTAGTTCTTGACACACACTGTACTCTCCTTCATATAGTCTAGGGCAGCTAGTTCTTGACACACACTGTACTCTCCTTCATATAGTCTAGGGCAGCTAGTTCTTGACACACACTGTACTCTCCTTCATATAGTCTAGGGCAGCTAGTTCTTGACACACACTGTACTCCCCTTCATATAGTCTAGGGCAGCTAGTTCTTGACACACACTGTACTCTCCTTCATATAATCTAGGGCAGCTAGTTCTTGACACACACTGTACTTCCCTTCATATAGTCTAGGGCAGCTAGTTCTTGACACACACTGTACTCTCCTTCATATAGTCTAGGGCAGCTAGTTCTTGACACACACTGTACTCCCCTTCATATAGTCTAGGGCAGCTAGTTCTTGACACACACTGTACTCTCCTTCATATAGTCTAGGGCAGCTAGTTCTTGACACACACTGTACTCTCCTTCATATAGTCTAGGGCAGCTAGTTCTTGACACACACTGTACTTCCCTTCATATAGTCTAGGACAGCTAGTTCTTGACACACACTGTACTTCCCTTCATATAGTCTAGGGCAGCTAGTTCTTGACACACTCTGTACTGCCCTTCATATAGTCTAGGACAGCTAGTTCTTGACACATACTGTACTCCCCTTCATATAGTCTAGGGCAGCTAGTTCTTGACACACCCTGTA